TTTTACCCATAACAATGCGTACGAGTCCTTTGTGCCGATGCAAATGACATAATAGCTCTCTTTAAATATATGAAGAGATGTTGTATAGAAAATGGAGCAAGCTGGTTTGCTGCAGCTCCAGATACTAACTAGAACATGAACCAATGGTGGACTCTCCTTTGGAAATTTTTAAAGTGTGGTTGGATGACCAGCTCTCAGGAATGTTTTAATTGTGTATTCCTGCAGGCAGAAAGTTACAGTATACTAGATGTTCTTTGCACCCCCTTCCAACTCTATGATTCTTTGATTTCTGAAAAGGAAACAAGGCAGAATCATCCCTCAAAAGGAAACACTGCAATACTCCTGTTTCTTTTGACATAGTCAGCTGGCCATGACAAGATCTGACAAAGTCACCAGCAGTGTAATATAACAGATGTTATGCTCAACCTTAGCTAACAGTTAAGTTAAAAGTTTTTTTTAAAAAAATGCTATTGGAAGGAACACAAGGTACTTTTAAGAGCCTGTTTGAAATAGGATTTCAATCTCTTATGATTTTTACAATTACTGTTTCTCTAAAGGCAGTTAAAGTCTGATGCAGGTGTCATTTTTAGATTACTTCTTTGATTGCCAGAAATCACCTACCTGTGTGATTCATTTAAACCAAAGCATAAACAGGGAGCTCCCCAGTTTCTCAGTCTCTGTGACCTTCACCATCCCCATCCTCACTATTTTATTTAAAGCAAAAAAGCAAAGCAGTTTCATTTATATACCACTTCATATCATGCTATGGGATGTCTAAACAGTTTACAACTTTAAGCTCATTGCCCCCCAACACGGTACTCATTTTAGCGACCTTGGAAGGATGCAGGCCTGAGTCAAGCCTGAGCCCTGGCTGGTATTGAACTCACAACCTTGTAGTTTATGAGTGAGTGGCTACAGTACAAGTATTTAACCACTGCACCACCAGGGCTCTATTTAGCAGTACCTATATCCATTACATTTTACAAAAAAAGGTATGGCAGGTTCCCAATGAATTTACAATCTGAAACAAAAACAGGGCAACCACAGAGGAGAAAGCAAGGCATGGGCAAGCAGGGGAAGGTATGTGGTTCCTTTTGTCACATATACTTTGGCTTAGTTACAATTAAAGATAGCATGATATGGAAAGTATTTGTTCTTACTTTATATCAGAGGTTCTCAAATAGTGGGGCGGGCCCCCCAGGGGGGGCGCGAGGCTCCGTAAAGGGGGGCCCGTTATGGCTGGAGAGAGGGAGATTGTCCCAGCGCAGCCCCAGTAGCAGCCCAACGTACTCTATCCTGATTGGTCAAACCCACCCATGTGACTATTTACAGTCACGTGGGGGGGCATGAAATGTTTTCTTCTTTCCTGGGGGGGCGTGACAGAAAATAATGGAGAAGCACTGCTTTATATAGAGAAGCAAGTGCTGCATTGACTGTTAAGCTCACTAATGTATCTCAAGTGTTAATTAAATTCCAAGAAACAGACATCCCCCTCCCTCAAAAAAAGAGAACTATCTTCTCTAAGTAGTTGTGTAAACAAATGGGTTATAAGCACCTTGTTAGAATAATGACTTGCATAATCACATCCAAATCCTCAAATTGTATTCTGTGCTGTGTTGATTGAATATTAAATCCATCCCTAAAACAAGGGGTAAATTGCCATAGTTCAAGCTGAGCTCACTTATGAGATCTCCTGGTCCACATGGCATCAGGAGACTCTTACTGTTAATTGAATTAAGCAAGTTTACTTATTTACTCTGGAATAGGAATGTGGTTTTTATGCATAATATCTTTTAATGTTTGCCTGCACCATATACTAAAATAAAACAAAACACCAGTGAAGAACACTAGGAGAATTGCATGTAGCAAACTGTCCTGGTGTAATGAGGGGGCATATACACAGAGATAGCAGTGAAAAAATCAGTCAAGATCAGCTGACATTTTAAAAAGTGCACACTGTAACACAGCAGAACAAAGATCAGTAGATAAAAGAAAGGGTAGATCTTTGATCCAAATCAAATTGAGCTGAGGTCTAACATAGGTGGCATCTGTATCCTGGTATCTTGAATCAATCAGATAAACAAATGGCAGTTGCAAGCCATTTAATTATTTTGAGTGGTCAGTAGACATCTAATTAAAGCACTGATTGTCTTTAAGAAACAGCAAGCCTTGTATAGTTCACCTAAAGCTAAAGTGAATGGCTGTCTTCTACAACAATTTGCTGTCTTTCAAGGGATAAGACAAAGTATGGCTTTCCCTGTCTTCTCTCCTTTGTGATCAAACCATCTGCAAGGCTGACAAGGCAAAACAAGGTAGTTTGCTGTGCATCAGCAAGAAAGCAATAAACACTAACAAAACTTCACAAACAAACAAACAAATAAATCAATGTGTGTAAAATGAACATGAGGAGGTAAAAGAATGATATGCTCTGCTCTGATCTACATAAACAGACTGTCAAAATAGACCCACCCATACAATCAAAGAGGTGGAAGGAATTACAAGGGCCACCTAATCCAGAGTACACAGCTATAGCACTCCTGAAAGATGGCTAGCCAACCTCTGCTTAAAGACCTTCAGTAAAGGAGGGTCTATTTCTTACAGGCCACACCACCCTGTAAAGAAGTTCATTCCACCCTTGAATAATTTGTACAATCAGGAAGTTCTTCCTAATGTTGAGAGGGAATCCCTTTTTTAAGAATTTGAATCAATTAATTCACAAGCTAGATTTTGAAGCAGGAGAAAACAAACCTGCACCATCTTCTACATGGCATTCCTTCAGACATTTGAAGAGGGGCATATGGCACCTTGTAGGCTGACTCTCCAGTGCAGAATTAATGCAGTTTGACTCTATCATGGCTCAATGTTATGGAACTCTGGGACTTGTAATTTTGTCAGATAATTATTCTTCTCTGTCAGATTGCTCTGGTGCCACAACAAACTGGAAAGCCCAGGATTCCATAGGATGGAGCTTTGATAGTTAAAGTGATGTCAAGTTGCATTAATTCTGTAGTGTGGCAGCAGTCCTAGTCTTCTCTTTTTCAAGCTAGACATACCCAGCTTCCTAAACTGTTTCTCATAAGATGTAAGTTCCATCCAGGCCATTGGTTTAACCCCATATTGTTACAGAATCAAAATAAAACTGCATTGGGTTTGTTTTTTGTTTGTTTGTTTTTGGCTGCCATATCATACTGTTGACTTATTTACTTATTGTCTACTCTACAGTATACACACAAACTCAGAAAGCATCTTCAAGATCTATACAAAAAGCTTCAAGAACATCAATCATGAAAATGGACCACTGTCATGATCATAGTCCACGTCCATAGGTATTTGGTCATTTGTTACATGAATAGGTCTTGAGGCTCTCTGCACTCAATAAATATGTGTGCATGTGTGCATTTAATTTGGGTTTGGGTCAATAATCCTAATTGCTCTCTTTCAGAAATTACAGGGGCAATTCAATGCTAGGTCTCATACCAGTGAGTAAAGATGTGTGTGAGTTTGGAAACCTTCAGCCCTCCAGATGTTAGACTACATATCCCATCATTCCTATATATTGGCTATGGTGGCTGGGGCTGATGGTGTTTGGAGTCCAGCAACATCTTTAGGCCATAGCTTCCCTGCCCCTGATGTAAGGTGAAGTTCTGAAATTCAGAGATACTGAATGTTTCTCTGTCCATGGATGTCATTCCTGTTTTGGTGGATGGATACACTTAAAAAAAAGCTGTTTCTAAAACATATTAAGTAACATGAAAACCAGTTCTGGTGTTCTGTGAAATGCCATTTAATTAAACCTAAAATAATAGTAGAAATTTTTCCTCTCATGGTTAGGGATAATGAGCTGTGATGGAGATGCATGGATTAATGTGTACCTTGTTTCTTCTTCATGTACTCCCATGTTACTCAAATTTAAAGAGTGTCTTATGGCAAATAAAGTAAAATAAAAATTATGACTTATTAATTATATAAAAAACATTCATTTTGTTTCATTCTTTCTCTCTCTCTCTCTCCCTCTCTCTCTCTTTCTCTCTTTTTCTCCTTATTTTCCTTCCTTCTTCTTGTATTTTATTTTATTGAAGATGAACACAACAAGTACAATGGAAAATAGAGGCCTGTTGAGCAAAAATACACTAAAAAGATAAAAGCAAAATAGGAATACGTTTTTCAGAATTAACAAAAATACATATGTCTCAATACTTGATACTCCAGTTGAGATCTAATAGGTTTTGGTTTTTTAATCCACAGGTAAAACACATGGAGTAAAGTTTATGAGGAGTTACCAATTCAGTTTCTATATAAGAAGGTGCCTTCCCATTGCCTGTCTTATTGCAGAATTGGCACATCTTAGTCTTCGAAGGGCTTTTACAGACTGCCAGAATTAATGCAACTTGAGTTCACTTTAACTGTCTTGGCTTAGTGCTAGGGAATCATGGGAATTGTAAATAATAATAATAATAATAATAATAATAAATTTTATTTGTATCCCGCCTCTTTGTCAAACAATCAAGGCAGCTTACAGCATTAAATCTCCATACAATGTTAAAATACAATCCAAAATCCCCCAACCCTCCAACCCAGGGGTAGGCAACCTTTCCCCTTTAAGGGCCAAGGGACTTCAGCTGCCAGAATCCCAGGAGCTGTTGACCAACATGGGACTATTGGCCAACATGGCTGAGGCTTCTGGGAGCTGAAGTTCCTCGGCCCTTAAAGGGGAAAGGTTGCCTACCCCTGCTCCAACCCCTTAAAACAGAATTAAACTAATGATAACATTAAAACATAATACTTAAAAACATATTAATTTATATAAAAACATAACTGGCAGTAATAGACTGAACAGAGGATTGCAGCCAAAGTAAGTAATGGGACTCCAGAGGCCGGGAAATCTAGTCAGGAAAGGCCTGCCAGAAGAGATCCATCTTCACAGCTATTTTGAAGCTGTTTAGGTTGGTAATCTGATGGATCTTGTCTGGCAGGCCATTCCATAATCTGGGAGCGGTAGCCGAAAAAGTCCTCTGGGAGGTTGTTGACAGCCTAGTTTTTATTGGCTGCAACAAATACCTCCCAGAGGACCAGAGTGCGCAGGGAGGATTATATGAGAGGAGGTGGTCCTGAAGATAGGTTGGACCCAAGCCATTCAGGGCTTTAAAGGTCACAACCAACACCTTATACCGGGCCCAGAAACTGATAGGCAGCCAATGAAGGGACTTCAGTACTGGTGTTATGTGGTCTCTCCTAGATGTCCCAGAGACCACTCTGGCTGCCATGTTCTGTACCAACTGGAGTTTCTGGACCAGGTACAACGGTAGCCCATGTAGAGCACATTACACATATCCAGATGAGAGGTTACCAGTGCATGCACCACAATCTCAAGGTCCCTTACTTCCAGGAAAGGGCACACTTGGCATATCAGCCAAAGCTGATAACAGGCACTCCTGACTGTTGCATTCACCTGACTAGTCATCTGAAGTGATGAATCTAGGAGGACCCCCAGACTGTGAACACAGTCCTTCACGGAGAGTGCAACCCCATCCACGACTGGAGGTCACAACCCTATTCCTGGTTTCGGGGCCGCTACTGTGAGCACCTGCATTTTGCCTGGATTCAATCTCAGTCTGTTTTTCCTCATCCAGTCCATTACTGTAGGGTTTTGGGGTTGGGTTTTTTTTTTTTTTGAGACATTGAGCCTTCTCTGTCAGAGAGCTCTGGTGCCACAATAAACTACAGTTCCCATGATTCCCTAGCACTGAGCCAGGGCAGTTAAAGTGGACTCAAATTGCATTACTTCTGGCAGTCTGTAAAGACCCTTAGTTTTTCTGTTTAGAGAGCTAAAGGAGCATGATTTGGCTTAAATAACTGTGACTGGGGAGTTTCTTTAAGGTGCCCACTCTCTTCTATCCCTGCTCCACTCTCCCCTCCTACACACGGTGGTGTCACCAGGGAGTGTGGAGG